AGAGAGAGAGAGAGAAAACGAAGAAGAAAGGTTAAGGCGAGGCAAAGGTTAATATCTATCCCCACTTCTTAAAATCAAGTCGAGCGAACGATGACTTCTTGAAAAGAAAACACCGTGGTTTTCCGTTTATCCGAAGAATCACCATCCTCTCCCTCCCCCCCCCCTGCCCCCTCTACCTCGTTCCACTCCCTCTATCGATCCGCCACTCCATCGTGCATTAACGAGCTCGTGGAACATTATCGTGCGTATGCCGCTATTATGATGCTAAATAACGTGAAAGCGATCAATGGTTAACGAGGGCGGGAAATTTTTCTTTTCTTTTTTCGTTTCCTTTTCGTTTCTTTTCCTTTTTTTTTTTCTTTTTTAGGGATCGTCCCGCGATTACGCGTGCAATTTCCACGTGAATATTCAACGCGGCAACACGGCGGCTTGTTGCGCTAAGTACATTTTCCACGGGGGGCGGGAGGGGGGGGAGGAGGAGGAGGAGGAAGAGGAGGGGGTTGGCAGTCGGCTATTAAACGGGGGCTCGTTCGTTGCCGCCTTTGCCCCGGCTAAATTGCCTATAACGACGTGGACACGTTGGAAAATTCAGGAAGGAGGGAAGGCGAAAAGTCGGAATGGCCGCTCGGCCATTCCCGACCGGTATAATAAGGAATAATTCATTTAGAAAACGAGGGACGACCACGAATTTGCGAATTTGGCGGTGTTCGCTCGCGAGCGAAACGCGCAATAACCCTTTTATCGCAGCCAGGAAACGTTTGCCAACCGCGCATAACAAACATTCCCCCGAACCATTTTTTTACTACACCTATCCCGCCCCGATTAAAGCGTTCTTCCGAATCCCCCCTCCCCCCCTCCCCTTCGATCCAACGAATCTCGATCTCGACAACGTTTCCGCCGGTGGTTCGCTCGCTCGCGATCGATTTTTCTTCCATGTCGCGCGTTATTTGCGATTCGATGAAATTCGATCGACGAGAAGTGTGTAAAGGTAATTTTTACCGTGCTTTTAATCGAGCCACGGAATAAATCGTGCAATAAAATATGGACGAATAATTTTCCACGGTTAATTCGAGTTATCGAGATCGAAGTTTCCATTTGTCGAATCCGTATCTTCTACTAAAAGCGACGAACAGGGACGAGGATACACTCGTTGTTATCGATCCGAGCACACTGATTCTTTCTCTCTCTCTCTCTCTCTCTCTCTCCTCCTCCTGGCCGGGGAATAATGGAATAACTGTACCGTGGCAACATTCTCGGTTTCAGATGCCTCGTCCTCGAACGAAGCCGTGCACCTCCAGCAGCGTCTCAGGAGCCTGAGCACGGAACTGGTGACCCTGAGGAACCGGCTGCACGTGAACCAGCCGCCGAACAATTCAGGGCCGAACAGCGCCGCATCCGCGCCCCTGTCCAAGAGCCCGGAAAAAGGCGGGGTACCATCGTCCCCGGCGCCCGCCGTCCCCCCGAGGACCACGTTGCCCATCTCGGCCACCCTGCCTCACTCCCTCGGCCATCCTTCGGGGGGGCACACGTTGACGGCGTCCGCCATCGTTCATCCGCACGTCAATCACCCCGTCACCGCGAACACGCTCGGCCACAACTCGACCGCGGCTAATAATTTAATATCCGGTCAGTATGCTGCGGTGTACCCGGTGCACCCAAACTCCGTGTCACGGATTGCGGCTTCGCTTTATACGGATTGTTGTTGTTGTTGTTTAAACTGCATCGTGTGCATTCCCCCCCCTCTCCTTCTTCCTTCTCGAAGATTTAGGATTTAGGAAGTTTCGACTCGAACTCTCGAGTAGTTCTGGTATTTGGTTCACTCGAGGTAAAGGTGAAGAAAAGGTGGCTTTATTATAGATTTTCCTTTTCTTTTCGTTTCAAGAAAGTTTCGGATCGATTTCGGATGATATACCAGCCGCGATTTATTTTGAAACTTCGTTCGATCGTGGATAACGTAGTTGTAGTCGATCGGGATCGAATATCATCCCGATATGTTTGCCGTTGGAATTTATTGCGTAACTCGGTCGGATAAGCGCTGTCGATTATTGCGAATTAAAACGGATCGCGGTATGTATATATATATATATATACGTGTGTGTGTGTAAATCGGAAACTGGCGTACCGTTCACTTGGACATTCATCGAGTTCGTTCCGAGCTCGTTAATATTTAAACGGCGCGTAATATCGTCATTACGTTAATTCGCGATAGAACACAGCAGGAGGCAGCTTTTTCCCCGCGTGGCGCCGATTGCGGGGGGTGGAGGGGTGGTGTACGCGATGTTTTAAATAAAACCAGAGTTCGAAGCTTTGCCCGCGAAATCATTGGAACGGTAAACGCGTCTGTTTACAGAACTGCCATTTCCCCAACGTTTTATGATTTATCTACCATTTCTCCGCTCCCCGGATTTTGGCTCCGCTTGTTTTTTTATCCATCCCTCCCCCTTTTTTTTCCCGCTTCTTCTTCTTTTTTTTTTCTTTCGCGATTTTTCTATCCGTTCGATTCGATGGAGGAGGAAAAAAGCGTAAAAAACACGAGCGCGCGCGCGAGAGAGAGAGAGAGAGAGAGAGAGTTTGCGGTTTATTCGGACGTGAGCCCTTCGCGCCGATTTCCAGCCGAGAAGAATAAAAATGTTTGCGCGCGGGCAAAAGCGGTTCACGTGGCTCGGTACGCCGCATCTGATCTCGAATCCCTTCCGGTTAATCGAGCCCCGGCTGGCGAAATTGCACACGGGTACAGTTAACCGCGATACGCTTTGAATACGCTTCTCGTACGCTCTCTCCTCTGCCCTCTGTTTCTTTCTCCCGGTGAAAAATGTTCGGTAACAACAACGTTAAAACTTACTTATATCCTCTTATACCTCTCTTATCTCGATCTCGATTGTATAAAAATGCGATACGATTTTTAAAAAATTTTAAACTCGTAACTCGATTCGACTCGGCTTGGACCGCTATTTTCGAGAAATCGGCACGTCAAAATTCTTTAATTTTTCAAAAATCTAAAACCAATCGATTCTAAGTGGTTGCTAGTTATTTTCGAGAAATCGTAACGCTACACCAAAATTATTCGCGACGATAGATTTTTAAAAATCAGCGAATGCGACTCGGTTCGATTCAGTTTTAACGTTAACCCTCATTTTCGATGATATCGATTCGCGCCAAAAAAAAAAGTGGAATTTGAACGTAATAACGGGCGTTTGACGCGTTTGAGCAGACTTGGATCCACCGAAGCGGCACAATGGGATCCCGGACGACGGCATAGTGTCGTGCGTGACCGCGCTGGGCTGCCTGCGCTCGCCGCCGATCTCCAGCATTATCGCCGACGTGAAAAACGCGAAGAGCAGCAACCAGGGTCAGCATCGATGTCTCCCGAAAGGTGCCGCGGCTTCTCCCGGCCCTGCCACTTCCACGGCCTTGGACGACCTCATTCACCTACCTGGACCTCTGACGGAGGACGCGGTGCTCAAGTGTCTGCAAGCTCGATTCTGTGCCAAACAATACCACGTGAGTCTCCTTCCCAACAGATTTGTTCTCCCAAATTTAAACCTTTCTCGTATACACATACACGTAATACTTCGATTCGGAAACGAGCAATTTTTACTTGTCCTTGTATACTTTCCCTTAAGAGAAATTATTATCATCGTCGATTGTATCCGAAATATTACGCGTATTATTTTACGTAACCGTAAGGGAAGTTGCGTGAAGGAACCCGACATAAGAACGCCAACGCGCGGCCAATATATAATTCCAATAATAACTGCAACTTTGCCACCGCGATTAGGAGGGGATCGTACGGGAGAACGAGAATCCCTGGTGCTAATCGGTGCACACCATTCTTCGCCAATTGAATCGGCCGGTGCATCAATCACTCTCGGCCTCGATAGTGGCGACAGGACACGATAAGTTCGTGCCGCCTCTCTAATTGAGATGAATGCCCCGTTACCCGAGATACCGAGCCCGCGAATCGTTCGATATCGCCGTCGATATTATTATTTCCCGACTTCTTCTCCTCCTCCACCAATTAACGAACACCCTCTCGACGATCCCCTCTCCTCCATCCCATCCGGCTATCGATTATCCATATTTTGCCCCGCCGTTGTACCGCCGTTTATCGAATTTAACGAGGTGGCCGAGTATTCTTCCTCTTCCTCTTCCCCTCTTCTTCGAAGAATCCCCTCGAAAGAAGGAAGAAATCCACGCCGAGTTTCTCTCGAGGCCGTCGTCGTCGAAGACGAGGGGAAAGGGAACGCTTTGCGGGGGGAGGGAGGGAGAGGGAGAGGAAAATAATGCCCGTGGATGGATTGACCGTTGGACCAAGATATCAAGCGGTTTGATCGCAAAAAGGGTCGGCGGTTTCCGGTGGGCGGCGACAATTATTTGCCATCGCGAAGAACGCGATTTCCTTTCGAATATCCGTGGATTAATTATCGGCCGTCATTATCGGATCGTTTCGTTCCAACGGGGGGGAGGGATTATTATTATTATTATTATTATTATTATACGTTATATCTCGTGTTTGTTTGTTTGTTTGTTTGCATTTTTTAAATTATTCGTGCACGTTTGAGATCGTTTTTTAAAATATGTCATAGTTGGAAATACTTCGAAAAAAGAGATTACCATTATTTAGCACGTGTTAAAAGATACGATAAATTGCGATTTGAATGGGATGAATAAAAGAACGAATTGACGTTGTTGGAACGGAGAAGGGATCTAAGCTCGATCCCCGTGCGAGAGAGTTGCTCGAAAGCTCGCGGCGAGCAGGAAGGGGGGGGGGGAATGGAGGCGAGCATCAGAGGCCACGGGGCCCGACATAGGACCGGTTCTCTCTCTCTCTCTCTCGCCCCCTCCCCTCCCCACTCGGCTTTCGGCGTTTTTCCCCCTTTTTGTTCCTCGTGCACGGCGTTGCTTTCTCTAGGTGGGCTTCTAATAGGAATCGAGACCCCTCCAAAGCCTCCTCGGTTGCTCCTTGCACGTCTCGCTCATCCACTTTCTGCCTCCTTGCTCTCATCCGCTCTTCGCTTTTTCTCATCCTCCCCACAGTTCATTCTCAACGATCTTGCGCGCTCTTTCGCTTTCTTCCTCCTCGTCTTCTTCGAGTTATGTATATTATCGATGAAAATTGTCCGAGAAAGGATGCAATTTCTCACAGGATCGAGACGGAAAGGGATTGTCACGGATTGTCGAGATTTTCGAACGATTCTTTCCTTCTATCGAGTTCCACGAAACGCGAACAATCACGTTTGTCACGAAATTTTTAAAACTGGAATCGAATCATCGGGAATTGGAAAGAAAATTACAAAGAATCGCGAAGAAGTTTCTTTTCTTTTCTACGACGATAATTACTAATTACTATAATAAATAATTTTTTTTTCGGCCAATAAACCGGCAAAATCTTTGAAGAAAATTCTCCAATTCTATCGAAGAGAAAAATGTCGAACGTAATGTTTAGAACGTGAAGTTTTCAATCGGATCAAAAAGATAGATAAAAGAGAGAGATAAACGGATAAATAGTTGATCTCGAGACGAGAGATCACGATTAATCCTGCCTGTTGCAAAGCATCTAGGCATCCATAATCCACGCGGTTGATACGCGTGGTAACGATGCAAAAAGCGGGGACGACAGGACGACGACGCAATGAGAAAAAGTAGTCTCATTTCGCGTCGTCCGCAAAGATGAGGGGGCCCTCCCCCTCGGAATCGGAATGGGTAAGATAATCGAAACGCGTTTCAGACAAACGTGGGCCCCATACTGGTCTGTATCAATCCATATACGGACGTCGGGAATCCATTGACCTTAACGAGCACCAGGGCCGTACCTTTGGCGCCCCAGCTGAACAAAGTCGTTCAGGAGGCCGTGAGACAGCAGTCGGAAACTGGATACCCCCAGGCCATCATTCTTTCCGGTAAACGATCCATCGTCGTTCTATTCTCGTTTTCTTTTCTTTTTTCTCTCTCTTTTTCAGAGAGAGAATATTCGAACATAGAATATTATATATATATATATATATATCCATGTTTCCAGGGACGAGTGGTTCCGGGAAGACGTATGCCTCCATGTTGCTACTAAGGCAACTGTTCGACGTGGCGGGAGGTGGTCCCGAGACGGACGCCTTTAAACATTTGGCGGCTGCGTTCACGGTTCTGAGGTCTCTGGGATCCGCAAAGACTGCCACCAATTCAGAAAGTTCTAGAATAGTACAATTTTATTCTTTTTCTTCCCTTTCTTTTCTCTTTCTTTTCGGCGTTTTTTTTTTTTTGTTTTGTTTTTGGTTTTCGTCCCCACGCCGGTGGGAATCGGAGCGATGGTAAAACGATCGTTTTTGTTCAGGGTCACTTTATCGAGGTCCAGGTGACGGACGGCGCCCTGTACAGAACAAAGATACATTGCTACTTTCTGGACCAAACTCGAGTGATCAGGCCCCTACCCGACGAGAAGAATTATCACATATTTTACCAAATGTTAGCCGGCTTGTCGCACGAGGAACGAGGTAACAGGTTTTTTAACAATTTCCCCTTTGATCGCTCGCGCATTGTATTTCAACGATCGATTTCGTATTCACGATATTCACTCGCTCCCCAAGTCAAACTCAACTTGGAGGGTTACAACCTGAAGAACCTGAGGTATCTGCAGCACGGGGATACGAGGCAGGACGAGGCTGAGGACGCGATCAGGTTTCAAGCGTGGAAGCTTGCTTGGGTACGTATGAAATCCAAAATCCTCTCCTCGTGATGAATTTCTAAAAACAAGAAGAAGAAGAAGGAAAAAAAAAAACGAAGAATCCAAATCTTCGAGGAAGAAAGAATAACGTTTCTCAACTTTCGTAACTTTGAATGTGTGGAAAAAAAGAGAGAGAGAGAAAAATAAAAATTGTGGACAGGTGTGCTGGGTATACCCTTCCTGGACGTGGTCCGTGTACTGGCGGCGGTGTTGATCCTCGGGAACGTTGGTTTCACGGATCGTCCTGGCGTGGAGGTGGGCGTGATCGGCGAGAACGAGTTGGCGTCGGTCGCGGCTCTCCTCGGCGTGCCGCCCCCTGCCCTGCTCAGAGGGCTCACCTCGAGGACCCACAATGCTCGCGGCCAATTGGTGAAGTCGGTCTGCGACGCGAATATGGTAACTGATTAACTCGTTGCTATCGATCGAACCCACTTGGAACGAATGGTGTTTGCAGTCCAACATGACCAGGGACTCGCTGGCCAAAGCTCTGTACTGCCGTACCGTGGCCACGATCGTGAGGAGGGCCAACAGCTTGAAGAGACTGGGCTCCACCCTCGGCACCTTGTCGTCCGACTCGAACGAGTCTGTTCATAACCAGGCCGAGGTGACCAGTCAACACGCGTCCACTATCGGCAGCTCTGCGGGTAGGAGAATAATTGCCAAGAGTAGATTAGAAAAAGTTGCTCCAGTTTTTCTTTTAAAGATGTATCGAAAAATGTATCCGTATTCGCAACAAGTGGACAAGTCTCGTCGATTCTTAAGAAAAAAAAAAAAAAAACACGAAGAGATTGAAATTAATATCGAGGAATATAATTTATTTCAATAATCTGTCTTGAATTATTGTCTGGAAATATCAGTTTTCTCGTGTCACGCGCAGGTGGTACCGGTTCCAGAAGCATGACCGCGTTGAACAACGCGGTACGGCACGCGACGGATGGGTTCATCGGGATCCTGGACATGTTCGGTTTCGAGGATCCGAAGCCGAGCCAGTTGGAGCATCTGTGCATCAACCTTTGCGCGGAGACGATGCAACACTTCTACAACACGCACATATTCAAGAGTTCGATCGAGAGTTGCCGGGACGAGGGCATCCGGTGCGACGTGGAGGTCGACTACGTCGACAACGTGCCCTGTATCGATCTCATCTCATCCCTGGTAAGCGTTTCCGCTCGATCGATTTCGACTCGAAATCGAATGATCGCCACCGATTTCTCTCTCCTCTGTTTCGCAGAGGACCGGGCTGTTGAGCATGTTGGACGTGGAATGCTCGATACGAGGCACGGCCGAGAGCTACGTGGCGAAAGTGAAGGTCCAACACAAGCAGAATCCACGATTGTTCGAGCCGAGGACCGTGGATTGCAGGTCCTTCGGGATCCAACATTTCGCTGGCAGGGTCACCTACGACGCCTCCGACTTCTTGGGTAAAAAGAACACCCCCACACTTTTGCATAGATAGAAAAAGAAAGTGCTCGAAGATTCTGCCTCTCTTCGAAAATTTATCCACGATCGCGGATGTTTATCGAAACGATGTTGCGATTAGCACGATTTGTTAGAAAATGTGAAATTTTGTTCTCTCTGTCCGAAAAAAAGACACGAACAAGGACGTGGTCCCGGACGACCTGGTGGCCGTGTTCTACAAGCACACGTGCAGCTTCGGTTTCGCCACACATTTGTTCGGCAGCGAGTTGAAGGCCCTGTACGCGAGCGACACGGTGCCCAGGGGTGTCAGCTTCAGGATATCGCCTACCTCGCACACCGACCTGTAAGAGGACGACCACTCTCGCGAGGATATCGCGAGGAGACACGATTGTGATTACCAACCTTTTCCAGGTTGAACGGGGACGAGCCGATCTCGACGTTGACGCAGGACTTTCACACGAGGCTGGACAATCTGCTGAGAACCCTGGTCCACGCGAGGCCCCACTTTGTCAGGTGCATCAGAAGCAACGGGACCGAGACGCCGCTTCACTTGGACAGAGGCGTGACCATGCGTCAGATACGATCCCTCCAGGTTCTCGAGACGGTGAATCTAATGGCCGGCGGTACGTCTTGAAACTATCCAGGGACAGGGGATTTGCATACGTAGCGCGTGATGATGCTAGATCTCCTCGTCCTTATCCGATCGCTGTCCCCCTTGTCGGTCGTTTGTCTTGTCGGGCAGGGATGGGTGATAGTAAAAAAAAAAAAAAAATCTCGTCGAGGTTCTTAATTTCTTTTTTAAAGAATAACCCTTGAAGAAAAAGGTTGATCTGATCTGTCACTTTTGAGATTTTTACTTTTGAGATTCGTTCCTTTTTTTTTTTTTCTTCGAGACGTTTGAGCTGAGATACGGATGGACGAATTGCAGGATACCCCCATCGGATGCGTTTCAAGGCGTTCAACGCGAGGTACAGGCTGATCGCTCCGTTCAAGCAATTGCGACGTGCCGAGGAGCAAGCGGTGGAAGACACCAAGCTCATCCTGCAGAACGCGCAGCAGCTGAAGAGCAAATTCGGCGCGAGCACCAGCTGGGCGCTCGGCAAGAGGCACATCTTCCTTAGCGAGGGCATTAGGCAACAGCTCGAGAACCTGCGCTCCGAAACGCGGAGGAAAGCCGCCACCGTGATACAGGTAAATGGATAATTTTCTAATTGCGTACGAAGAATATTTTTTCCAATAAATGATTCCTCCTCCTTTCTCTTCCGTTTTAAAATAATTTAAATTTAAAACTGTTTAAACATTCGCTTTCAATATACACATTTATAATTTCCAAAAGTAATTTTCGAAATTTCTTCTAAAATAACCTTATGAAGAAATTAATAAAACTGTATATACCATGTTCAAATTCGAAGAAAGAAAGAAGGAGAGAAGGAAAGAATCGTTCGAATAAAAATTATGTCTAGGCAACGTGGAGAGGATGGCGGGTGCGAAGAAGATGGCCCCTCAGGAAGACGACGATAGGAGTGACGTCCGGTATCGGGCAGAAGAAATCTCAACAACCGACCTCGACGACCACGGGCACAGTGCAGAGGAACGTGACAGTGGCCACCGGCACCGGAACCGGAACACGGCCGAGGCCTCAGCCGATCGCTGGCACGCCACCACCCGATCCGTCGGAGAAATGCGCCGATCAGAAGATGATCCAGCAAACGTGCACTCTGTTCGGATTGGATTTGGTAAGCAAACGGGGAGGGCTGTTCCTTCTTCTCTCGACGTTTCTTTTCGACGAGTTTCCACGCGTCGCGAGGAAAAACGTAACGAAAAGTGTGCGGAATTTTGTTGCAGGAACGACCGCCCCCGCTTCCGCCGAGCAGATCGTACACCGTGACCGGAAACACGAAGTTGGGCTATCCCCAGACCAGGATCATGAAGATGCCATTTCCAGGTAAGGAGGAGGATGGCCGCTCTTGTAAAAATCTTATTAAACTTGCAAAATTGGAATTTGTTCTTACGTTGCATTATAAGTGTTTATACCGATATCGGTATTTAAATTAAATTATTTTCGAATACACGTGTATATACTAATATATGTATATTAGTAGTAGTTTAGTTTTCTTTCTTCTTTAGATTAAATTGTTCTAATAAAAAAAGAAAATTAAAATTTGCCGAGCAACTGTTCGCTACAAAATCGTTCTTTTGATTTTTCTCGAGAGATTAATATTAGAATTATAAAAGCACAAGTTCTCTCGGCTTTAAAATTAACACTATTTAGATAATATTACCATAGTTAATTCTAGAATTATATTCGGTATTAAGATTCGGATTTAATACCGATTCCATAGATCTTTGGGAAAATTGCCTGACGCTACGCTACTATTTGATTTCGTTTTCCAAATACGGGTAGAGTTATTGTTCTTTCAGAAGAGGGTGAAGGGGAGGTGGTCCTGCTGAAGGGTGAAACGGTTCTGGTCGTGGGGGCGTCTCCCAGGCGAGGTCACCTGCTGGTGGAGCACAACAACACCACGCTGCACGTGCCCTATCAGTTCATGGAGCTGAAACCGTGTAATATTAACATCTGAAACGCGTTATTTATTTCCGTGCCTTATTTTTGTCACTCGTACGACGCCGTGTTTAAACCACCATCATTATTTTTTCTACATTTCTTTTCTTTTTTTTTTTTTTACGCATAAAGCGAGCAACACTCGACCTCGTTAAATTTGTTTTCGATCGAGGGATGGTCGGTTTCGCAGAGGAGCGGTGGAAATTGAAATTTTTATTTTGACTCGGAGAAGATATTTATAAAAAATAGAGGCAGAGAGAGAGAGAGAGAGAAGTAAAAGAAGAAGAAGAAGAAGAAGAAGAAAAGAGTTTTGTTTCGTTGGGATTAGAAGGTGGACAGAGGATTTCACGGAAATGAAGATAGAAAATTACAGGATGTAACGATGCATGGGCACCCAGTTTTTAATTTAAAAGAAAGATTCGAATGGAATCTCCGTTTCCACCCGCGATTCCATCCTTTCCCCTTTGTTATACGTCCTACCTGAACGTACGTAATCCGCAATTATGCTTGCGTTCTATCTTCCCTGATATATCCTTTTTTTCCCGGCTCCTTTTGAGGTCTTTTCTCTCCTCCTCCAACTTTTCCACTTCGAGATAAAAATAACTCGTAGATGGAAAACAAACGCGTGTATCCGCACCCACTGTAAACGTTATTACTCGATGAACTTCCGGATACAATTTCATCCCTATGAAGCTCTTCGACTTCCAATTAACTTGTCACAATCACCCTCTGCTCTTTTTTTCCTTTTTACTCCTTTTCTTTTTTTCTTTTTCATCCCTTTTTCTCGAAGAGATCGATAATCTTTCTCGTTTGTCGTTCCATCCACGAATTCCATCCTTCTTTTTCACCGTGAAGAAGAAGAAGAAGAGGAAGAAGAAGAAGAAGAAGAAGAAGAAAAAACGAAAAAAGAATTTCCTCTCCACCGGATGGAAATTGCAATTTAATTAATATCGAATGAAAAGGTTGGAGAGGGAGGGAAGGAGGAGAAGGAGGAGGGAAAACAAAGGGGAAAATAATATCGTACGATCGCGTTGAGAGTTGCGTTTACATCGGTTCGATCGTGAGATTAGAATTTAGAATCGCGGCCAGGAACGCGTGAACTTTGTCCTTTAATTAATTACGTTGCGAGTTTCACGCGGTGCTTATCGTTCGCTCGAGAGTTGGGTCTCGTCTTCCGCGTGGGTGGCAGCCTCCTCCTCGACGAGGGGCGTCGATTCGTCTTCCACGCAAGATAAGTCCACCCGCCTCCTCCTCTTCCGTTTTCGTTTTGGTGAGCATGTTAGCCCGTTAAACGCCGCCGAATCTCGCGATCCATCTATAAAATATGGGCTTCACGCGTGAATGCGTTAATGCCGCGAAGAATAAGGAACGCGATTGATCCTGAACGATGGACGAAAGAAAGAGAGAAATTTTCGATGAAATTTGTTCGTGGCGATTTTTTCCGTTTTCTCCTCGAAACTCGAAGCCTGAGGAAATGGTGGTTGGTAGTGGCGTGTACGAGAGAGATTTAACGGAGGGTGTCGAGTGTGTAATAAGCGTAATAAGCGTAATGGTTAGAGGATATTTGCCAACAGTATTCCTTCGTCTGTCTTTGAATTCTTAGTGCCAATTTCTAGAGAAGAAGCGTCTGTCGTGGAACGTCCGAATTTTGTTTCTCAAACAAAACGTTCTTTTCTTTTTCTTTTTTTTTTTTTTTTTTAATTAGTAAAAGACGAGTTGGAGAAAAGCGATACAGGATGTAGAGGACGAGAGATTTGGTCGTTCCACCGTGTGTATTTGTATTATACGATTAAAGAGATCGACTTCGATTAGGACAATATGCTCGACAATATCTCTAAAGAATAGGTCTAATCGAACAAGTTACTCTATCTCATTATCGCGATAATCATAACAGGCAAACAATTTCTAGCATTGAATCGGGAAAGGTAGATAGAAGAGAGAGAGAGAGAGAAAGAGTGAGTGCGCTTTGTAGATATAATACGAAACTCGTTCAGTTAGAAACGATAAGCGTCCATTGAGAGGAACAGGCGGTGGAGTGAAACTCTGCCGAGTTCAGCGTCTCGAGAATATGTACATACGAGTATGTATGCCGAATGGTATACGTAGTTTACAGATACCGGAGCCTGATGCATGCGTATGGGTAAGCTGTAAGTACGTGGAGATATTTTTGAATAAAATATAAGCGTCTTTGAAAATAACAACGATACGAATATATCTTCTTATCCGTCCCTTCGCCATCCACGCAAAATTCCGTAACTCCTTGTTCGGGAACTGCGAGAATACATTCAATTTTCCGCGTCCCAAAATTTTCTACGAGAAACACAATTTTGTCACAGTTGTTGACAGTTAATTTCATTTCTATGTCTTTTATCCTCGTTCCATTTAATTTATCGTCAAATTTTTCTCTCATTGCCGTTGCCATTTTGTACATTTTTTCCATTATACGTATATTTCTTAATTAATAATAATACTATCATCAAATTGAAGGAAAATTTATTCTCTTCAACGATGCATTCAACACCATTTTTCGAGAAATCATTCCTATTTCGTCACAGTTTTCGTCTCACGAAAACTTCGCCATTCGTATTTTCATTTTTATCTATTTATAATTCTCATCGTTTGCCTTTTCGTTCGTTCAGCACGATCCTCCACACTCGTTTCCCAACCCCTTATCAACCCTTATCTCGAATCCCTCTTGATCGCTGCAATTCCCGCGTCAAAGAGAAGGAAGCGAGCCAAGCAATTTTATCACAAGTTATCCGTCGAGTACACGTGACCAAAGCGCACGTGTTGTTGCTCGTGATTTGTGAAAAGGCCTCGTCTCGCCTAGGAGGCTTTAATAACAAACAGCTTGCACTGGGATCGCACGATTCGTATTAACGAGCGTGGCGGCCGATCCGGTGTTAATTAGCTTTTAATTAACATTGCTCCGAGCCGGGAGTACACGAAAATTTATGTAACTCGATCGACTCGCTCCCGCCAGCCCAGATTTGATCCACATCGGTTGTGGACAGGAATTCGGTTAATTGCTCGGCGAATAATACCGTGTTGTTGTTTAGACGCTTGAAATATCCGCCCAAAATAATCGCGTACAATCGTGTATACGAAACGATAATTCTTGATCATCGCGCTACGATATATCGCGCGCATATAAAAAACAGTTTAACATTTTTTGAACAGAAGATATATCACTCTTGTCCTAAATTTTCAGATGCACAATCGATGAATAAAGAATTAATTTTCTTCTCTCGAGGTTTAAAACACGATATTTAAAAAATACATATATTTACGTTATTCCACGATTTATCTGGAACAAGGAAGAAGCGAAGAGGTCTCGATATTGTTCGACTCGAATTAAATTAAACGAGAGAGAGAGAGAGAGACTTTAAAGGAGTCGTAAATAGAATCTTCCGATAATACTCGATATCGAGTATTAATTGAATCCCTTATTGAAACCGCAGTTCTGAATTCGAGCACGGTTAACAAAGATTGCAATGCGAATCTTATCGCGAACATCTACTATCCCGCTCGTACACAGGGATGTGTGTATGAGAGCTACCCTCTCACTTTCCGTCTCGAGAAACTCGGCAATTCCGAAGAGGAGAAACTTGCACGCGCCAGTTACTCCACTTTCCTCCCTCTCCGTATTTAATTTTCTCCTCGCATGGCGCGCCGGTCCGACATTTAGCGCGACGCAGGAGACGATGAAGAATGCTCGCTGCAAAAAGGAATCGGCGGATAAGAATTCCTCGGTGTCAGCCGCGTTCCAGAAACGATTCGGTTCAAAATTTCCTCCGTTTCCTCCTCTGAACAATTTCTCTGACGCTTTTCGAAATCGCGGAAAATTGGAACGATCGACGAACCGATCGAAAGTTAAGAATCGAACTTCGTGGAAAAAAAGATTAGATTTTAATTGATTTCGATCGATTCGATCACGGGCGAAATTGGAGGGTAAATCGAATTTATTGGTTAATTACGAAACTATGGAGGAGGGAAGGGAAAGGGGGGTGATAAAGGACAATTAATTAATTGGTTTATTCGTCGTTATTGAATAAGATGTAATTTGGTGTAATTTTTTTTCGTTAAAAGAAATATTTGTTACGTTCGAGGAACTTTCTTCGACGCATTGTTTGTTGGATTTGTTCGTGTTTCGCCGACGGTACGTACCCAACACTACTTGGGCTTGATCGATCTGGACTCCGTGATTGATCAATATTTTCCGTAACGAAAATTTGTATTACGCTTGAAATTATCTCAGGGATCTCCAATTAATCGGTAATTCTTACGTTTTTTCTTTTTTTTTCTAATCTATTCAGCAATCAATTTCAGCATAATATGAGGTAATGTAATAAGAATACAATTTTACAGATGAATAGTCTCTGATTTTGGACAGATTAGCAAACAAAATCTCCACGACGATAATAATAAACGTAATACCGCATTACAAAATTGATTTGTAAAAATTTATTACAACGATTCTTTTTTCAAATACTACAAATCACGAATGATCCCTTAACCTTCGCGATCGACACGTGCGCGAAGAGGCGATGAAATATGAACTCGACATTCATAATTACGCGTGATAATAGAGAGTCGGTGGTCGAGTGGAAAATGAATGGATTTCTGCTACGGAAGTGGGTGTCGGATAATGAACAAAATAGGCTCCGTGAAATGATGAATTCTGTAGGGCTGGATGGTGCACGCCTTTGTGGCGCTGCTTCCATCTCGTGAAATATACAAATCTCGACGCCGGGGCGATAACGTAACACTTTCGGTTCGCAGGTTAATGGAATTTAGAGGGAGTATTCGCACGCTGTTGGGAATAAATCCGACTCCAGTATTTTCGTTGACGTTGAATTATACGTGGAAGTCGGCCATCGCGGACTGAATATATTCGGCGAAATATTAACTCGGGCGTGAAAAAAAAAAAAAAAAAAAAAAAAAAGAAAGAAGAAAATCTGACCGAGAGAAATTTTCGAGGGGAGGAATATATTCATTAATGGTGCAGCGGGATGAAAATGAAAATTTTTCGAAAAAATAATTTTTCCCTGGACTTTTTCTTTCTTTTTTTTTTTATTCTCCCTCGAATTTTTGATTCTCAGAGCTTATGAATTCCGCGAGTTATTTTTTTCGAAAACAGAAACGCACATTTTGAATCTCCGCCGGGATTTCTCTCTCCTCCGTACAGTCACGAGGAAAGGATCTGATTCCACAATATCGCGGATATTAAACTTTCCGAAAAGGCGAAATTTTTCCTTCCCGCGAGACATCGTCGATAACCGCGGACGGATTCGAGACACCTCCACCTCTTGGTCTGTCGCGCCAAGAAACGTCAAGAATCTTGCACGAGCTGGTGAAAAAACGGATATTCCCGATTCGTAATTTCGCGTAACATTCGCGTATAAAAATCCTCGTAATTGAAAATCTTCCAACAGACCACGAATGTGAAATAAGGGCGATTATTAATCCACGAAACCCTCAGGATTTCCGCCCGGAAGAAATATTAAAATTCCAAACATCGGGGGAGGGGGGTATTAAAATTCCATGCACGCGAACCTTCGCAGATATTTCCCCCGTGGAAGAAAATATCCTTCGAAACAGAGGCAACAACCGACAATTCAAAATCGCCAACGCACATAGAAATTGTTCAAACCTTCGTCTCTCTTTTTTTATCCCTTCCTCCTGTTTTCAATTCTGATCTTGGTCAGAATTCTTCTCGTGGAGAAAATTCACCGGAAATCGCGGCACCATACGTACGAAATTAGAGGCGTTTCGATTAGAGGAAGAGGCCTCCGAACAATCCGTTTCGACAGCGAGATCTTTTTTTTCCCCCTCCTCTCCTTTCTCTCGACCGACAACGCGTTGTTTGCGACACGGGAAAACCCAGCGGGAGAAGGAAACGATCGAATTTGGGGGCACCGCTGTAACGGGGCCACGGTGTACATCGAAATAACCTCGGCCCGATTTGCATTTCAATCGGCCACCCTATCATTTCTCTCTCTCTCTAACGAAAAAAAAAAAAATTCCGCCTCCACCAGCCTCCTCCGGACCATTTCGATTATTGGCTCGCGTTGTTTTCCATGGCCTCGCGATATATAGATTCTAACGACTTGATTTTCTGTTTTTCTTTTTCTTTTTTTTTTTACGCTGTAGAAAATTTGTTAGTATTTTTGAAAAACGGTTGAGAAACGGTTCGTTTCATTTTTTGAGAAGAGAAGATAATTCCTTTTGGAGTAATTTTATAAGATATTTCTTATATCCGGATATAATTCAAATCCTCGTCGAATGACGAGAAATTCGAATCGATGGATTCAACAACATGATTTTCGAGAAGGAAAAAGGAAAGGAAGGAAGTGTAAGTTTTACTTAAAACGCGAGGGAGAATTCTTTTCGACGTAAAAAAAAAAAAAAAGAATTTATCGGACTCTCGCATGAAACGTTGCATGCCGCGTCGCCGTACCGATTAAGTAACAAGATCCTTGGCTACTTTGGGGAAATCAAAGTGGACCACTAACGAAAATTGCTCCTTTCGTTCCTCTCGGTTCACGACAACCGTCCATTAATTTTCACCACAATTCACCACAATTCCGTCAAATCGAATTATATTTCCTTCCTGTGGAATAAGCGTCAAAAAAGAAAAAAGAAAAGAGTCCAAATCCCATTTTTCTCCTCCTCCATTCACACTACTCAACGTATTCCGTTCGTTTACACGCGCAGAAACAAGTTGGTCTTATCGGTCGCTCGTGAATCCACGTCTCGTGGACGGATCCGGCTCGGCGTTTCCGAGCCGCGATAGATCAATTCTCGATAAAGAGGAATTTCGTGAGATGAAAATTACGCGTGGCGTATCGGAGATAGGCCGAAATTTGCATTTCGATCGGACGTTTCTTGCGGATACGCATTTCGCGTCGGATGGCAAAAAGCGTGGAATTATCGCCCAGCTCGAGGTAAACCCTTCGCAACGCTCGATCACCTTTCCTCGGGAAAAATATTCCCGCGTAAAACTTGCACGATCCCCCCACGTTTTTCCTCATCCATGAGAGGGGATGAGGCGCGTGAGGAACGAGAATCGATCGAGAAAAGTATTTTCGAATTTGCGAGGGGAGAAAAATTTTCAACGATAAAGGATGGAATATTATTATCGATGGAAGTATCTTTGGCCGAATTACGAGGATCAGTGTTGTGATTCGAGAAGTATTGA